GACCTTCGTGTTCCGGGCGAGGACAGCGCAGGACGAAGGTCTTCGACCGAGATGCGGCCGCTTCGTTACACACTCGACGGAGAGAAGAATAGCGAATAAAAAGTGGCGATATGAGACCACAGCAGGGTCAACCATTATCTCCCTGTTTCCTTTGCTCGTTCACGAATCTCACATATGACCTAGCTCGGTAGAGCCGGTGCTCTGCGTCTTTTACGCGCTCGTTAAACTAATTAGCATAGACTATCTAACGCGTACCTGGTTGACGGTGCGTTTGCACTCACTCCGGTCGTAATTTCTAGCTAAATCCAAAAGCTAACGAATAACAAAGCACGCACACTGTGCAGTCTACGTCAAACGATTAACCGCAGAGACAAGTTTTCACTTCTTTTTTTTTCACAGACACCTTACGTAGATAGGTTAGATATAGCGCGTAGGGTGTTCCCTGACGCCTGTAAGAACGTAAGACGATTAAGGGAATCGTATCGATTTAGCACGGTGCTCTATTGACACCCAACGAGCCCGGGTCAGCTCCGGCACTCGATGCGGAAGATGGTCAAACCGGCGTAGAAATCGGTCGATGCACCGTTTCGAGCCGCGGAGCCGGAAAATTCGTATCTTCCAAAAGCCGAGGAGGATCTTTCTCGGTCGTGCCGTGCTTTCCTCTCATTAGCTTTAATTGGCTCGAACGTGTGGCACTCGATTTCGCCGTCACACAGACCGCTTTTCCTCCGGGGAGCGTGTCTACTCTGTGCTCCCTTGAATATTCAACCAACGGTAATTGCTTTTTCAAACCAGCGAAAACCTGTTATTATTACGATCGATCTGCAATTCTCCTCTATCCTCTCCACCTTTCATTCTTCGCCGATCTTGTCTGCGTTTTATTAGTTTAATGGAGAGTGGACGATTTTTTTTCTATACGTGTGTATATCTATCTAGGCTGTACACCATCGCGTACGTGTGTCGTCCACAGAAGACACATCGAATAATCCGCGAGATGGTATAGTGTGTAGTTTCGGCTTCACGAAGGAGTCGAGATAGAATCGTCGCTTACGTCGTGTCAGCGATTCTTCACGGAGATTAGATAACTCCGCAGGTGGCAGAGAGGCCTTAGCTTTCCGATTCGTTAACGCCGCCGGAATGTCATACGCCTAATACACGAGATAAACGCCAATTAGCGTTAGGCTCATTGTTCACCCGTTACGTCTTCATTTGTACGCTGTCAGCCCTCTGACACGATGCTATCTCTCGCGACGTCTGTCACGGAACACCCTACGCTCGTAATTTACGCGCGTTATCTCGGTAACAGCGTGGAAATTGTAATCCGCGTAGAGATACACGGAGTTCACCGGCACGATAAGGAGGAGTGCCGATCGATTTTCAACGATCGAATCGGAGATACGAGTATCGCCGGCGTGGAACGGTTTCTTCCAAGGAATAACAGAGTTAATTGAATTTTCCACGTGGCACGCGTGCCGATAGATCGCTGGAGTAATCGTAAAGGAGGCGGATTTGGCACGCGCAACCGTCGATTAAATTTCACCACGCTTAGCGTAATTAACAATTACGAAAAGGAGAGAGAATGCTTCTTTTTCCCTTGGATTTCTCTGGTCTGAAGATTCCAATTCGAGCATCGGCTCCGTATCGAGTTTATTACAAGAGGCGAACAACGTCAACGATAGGGGCAATATCTTAATATCTCGTGTGCGCGAATAGAATCGCGTTCCAACGATGAATTACCGTTCAATTTGCTCGTATCATTGGTCATCGTGGTATCCTCGATGGAAAGTACGACGTGCGACTATCGAGGCTGTTCGATTCGCACGCGTCGATAATTCTCATCGGCACGGAAGCGAGCCTGATTTTTCGTTGGTATCAATCAACCGAGCTTGTTCCGTGCCTCTTATCGACACGTTCTCGCATACTTCCAACAAACTATCGAGATCAACGCCGATACGTTCTCAACACCGCTCGATAAGATACGCGAAATTCTTGCGCCGGTAAATAATAAATATTGTCGCGTTTCCCGGTGCGTTCGACGCGATATCGGGGAATCGACGAAACGGCGATAAAAACGATCCTACCTCGAGATACTTCCGAACGGAAAGATTTCTAGCCGTTGAAACGACGAATAAACGATCCAAGTGAATACAGTAAATTCTCTACAAGTGTCACCCAGTTTGGATTCTACAAGTGTCAGTATAGATGGTCCTACGCCTAGGATCGCTGCGTCATTGCTGCGCCCATGTTATCTCGCTCGTTGTCAGTCAAGCGTGTAACGACAATTCATGATAGAAAAATATAATTTCTTTAATTTTACTTTTTTTCATCTGAAATTTTTTTTAACAGGTTGGTGAGACTTTTCTGATGAAAATGATAAGTGAACGTGTTAATAAGTAAAATCAGAAAAATCTCATCAATATGTTGAGAAAAATTTCGGGATAAAAAATTGTAAAATGAAAAAAGTTGGTATTTAAATCGCTTGGTTGCCTCGACCCACCTTTCATCCTTATCTTTTATTCGCTGTCCTTGTCTACGTTCGGCAAACTACAAAGGCGGGCGCGAGGCTCGGAAACGTAGTCCCTGACTCTACAAGTGTCAGGTTTGGGTTCCTTGCGGACTGACATTTGTGGAGAATGTACCGTACTCGAAATTCTTTCTCGAGCCAGAGAACGTCGTTCGAGAAAATTTGGAAGAGAAACTGATCCCGCAACGGCGGTCTGCCGAGGCCTTGACTCGTGCCAGCTAGTTATTCACTCGCACGTTCCTGGCGGTTAAGCGTGGAAATTCAAAGAAACGAGCATTTCGAGAGTATCGACCGATTTCATTCATCCATATTCGCAGAAACACGTCTCGGGCGCACCTTGGCGTGGCGAATCGTTCCAACAATTACGAAATCCATCGTGTCAGACAACTCTGTTAATCCTCTCTGACAGCTAATCGTGATCCACACCTTTTTCTTCTATCGTCTTCCCCTCTCCTCTTCCTCCATCGATTTCCAACTGACTCAGAGAGATAGATGGAGCGAGAGTGAGAGAGACGCTGGTTGTCCGCGGTTTTCGCAGCCTTCAACGAGAGAAATGCCAGAAATAAGATCGGCTGGCCACGCGGGATAAACACACACAGCCGAATCTGGGCCAAGCCGTTTATATCGTTGGAATGCGTTGTCGCCGTGGACGCGGCGCGTCTAGCCGGGAGCACCGTGGCAACGGCTACGCCATTATGTCATCATAACTCGTAAACCGCGAAACTACTCTTTTGGCATTAACGCGGACGGTGCGGTTGCGTCAACGCGCTTACTCACACCGTCCGCGCAGTTTTCGTAGGGATGTATGTACGTGGCTTCTGTCGCGTGGGAACTAGATGTGCCACGCGAGAGACGCGTCTCGATCGAACGAAGAGATAAACGTCGATAAGGAACGTGCAAGTTCGCTTCCCGGTTGTTCTCGATCGATCTGTTTTCCAAATTGATATCGAGCCGCGGCAATCTAATTGTACACGCGTGAAACGGTATCAATTAAGTCGGAGATCTGATGCGAGAGTTAGACTAAGGCTACCACGCTGGAAAGTCGAATCGCATTCGTCGAAACGCGGTAAAATTGAAAGTAACTGTAGGGGGGAAATTAATTAGGCGAGAGTGATCAACTTCGCTCCGTTGGGTTCGATGGAAAACTTTGAATTTGATAAACGGAAACGGAGTTTCGTCGAGTTCAATTGAATTATGAACGGTGGTGGATAATTGGGGTGACCAGACGTGTTCGTTTGAAAAACTCTCGACTGATTGAAACTTTGCATTGATCGTTGCGTCGATTGAGTTGGAAGAAAAATGTTTATCAAGTTTATCAAGTGAAATTCGAAGACAATGTTTAGATATTTACACGTAGATCACCATTTCTCACCATCTTTGAGGCAATTTCACGATTTCGCACTCTCAGAATTTGGCATTCTTCTGGGCGATGAAATGGTACGATGTGGAAAACGTACGATGGATACTCGTGAACAGAGAAGTGCAGATACTAGGACGACAGCTCGGTTGAAAACTGTATCCAGATTGGCAATTATTCGGAGAGAGAGTGGTCGAAAATGTGCGCTCACGAGCAAGAAAATCGGGCACGCTATTATCGATACATTAGATTAAATTGCCTCTTGTCCATTCGCCGCGATAAATCGAGCCGCTCGGCCATCATAGAGAGAGAGGAGCAAAAAATTAGTCCGTTTCAAGCACGAATCTCTCCCATTTGTCAAGCTATTTCATCGATCGAGCTGCTCCGCTGTCCTGTGTAGGCCGTTGACACGTTCTTTTCTCCTTAAAGCGCGATCGGCGAAAATAGCCGCCGCCCACGAAAGAAGAATCGACGACGATGATTGCTTCTCGACTCGCGAAATACATCCCCCGCCACAGCTCTGCCTGTGGGTCGCTTCACAATTTCGTACATGCATTCGAACGAGTTTCTATTTCCATCCTGATCGCGCCGCGCCGGTTTCAATTTAAAAGTCCACGAAAAAAAAACGAGCGGCACGCCTGACTTCCACGCGGTTCCGTTCGATCAACTCTTTTTCCCAATTCTACGATTGATACATCCGCGGTACGATCGTTCCTCGATTGTTTACAAACGGAGAGGATTTTTGGCGTCGAGGCGACAGAGAGAGAGAGAGAAGTTTCGTTGGTCGATCGAGTTTCACCCGATAAAAGTGAACCGGACTTGGAGTTTATTCGACTCACCTGAGTATGTTCGGATGGCTGAGCTTGTTCATCAGCTGAACCTCCTTCAGCATGTTTGGCCTGTTTGCGGGCAGCTGGTTCATCTTCAGGACCATCACCTGACTCGTCACTTTGTGAGTAACCTGGAAACCGTGTACACAGATGTTTCAGCACAATTTCATGCATTCTTTATGCCAATTCAGTTCGCGAACCGCTACACATTGCATCGACAAACCCTTGACCGCTTCAGCAGTTTCTGATGTGCTTAACTGTTATTACCCGTTACATTACGAAACGTCGGAGTCTCGGTAAGTCGGTGGAGGTATAGTCGGTGGAAGAAATATGGTGAATGGAACGAGTTCGTGGAAGTAATCAGAGGGAGAAATGTAATTGGTGGAAGTAATCAGCCGAGGTATAGTCAGTGGAAGAAAAGTAATTGGTGGAAGTGGTCAATCGGGGGTATAGTCAGTGAAAGAAATATAGTAAGAACGTAAATTAAAGCATGACTAATTGATGCAGCGACAGCTACAATCAACGTGGGACATTTTTCCGTTTTTCGATCAAAGATGTCGATTCTCGCTCGTCAACACGCTCCAAGATCCAAACTCTGTCACCTGACCGATCTTACAACCTAGCTACATTTCTTCCACCGACTATACATGAGGATAATAGTGAGAATTGAAAGGGGGATATCTGGCCTAAGATCGCTATCAGATCTAATTTATAACAGAACGTTAAATAACGCTAACATAAGAGTCGCTTGGGAAAAAGTAGAGTTTTCGAGGAGTACTTTTCTCGATGATATCCATCGACGTCCTAGAATGCCTGTATTGCGTAAAAATAATTTTAGAAAGTCTAGTGTCCAAGTTGAAGAGGAAACCGGGCTAAGTACAGCGTCCAGACTGTCCACGAGAATAAGACCAAAGAATTCGTAACACACACACACGAGTCGAGGAGTCTAATTGATAGTTCTGTTATAAGGCAGACGTTATAATTCACGAATCCAATAGTCGATCGAGCGTTCACGGGACTTTCTCGCGTCTCGATCGCTGCGAGCGTTTCCACCGCGTACGGAGAACATTATCTCGATGCATATTACACTGTAATTAAGCGTTCCCGCGAACAACCAAGCGGGAGACGTCGCGTCGTTCTGATCCTACTACGATATATCTGTGCCCGTATTTTCACAGCCCGAAAGACGCGTGAGAGAACGTCAGGCTGATTCTCACGGGGCAGAAGAGTATTAATGAGACGTGACGCGCGTGGAACGCGGCAGAATCGAGGTATAGTCGATGGAGGAAATATTAGCCAGGTCCTGAATGATGTTTACACGGTCGAACACATCGACAAGCGAATTCACAGAAACCTGAGAAGATAAGGAACCCAAACTGCAGTCAAGACTGCATTTAGCTTTGATTCAGTCCTAATCGAGAAACGAAAATACAACTTGAGCAAGCCTCGATAATCGCAGGTGTATAGTTGGAGGAAGAAATATATCGAGGTCGTAAAATCTGAAACCTGAGAAGATAAGGAATCCCTTAGCTTAGCTTCGATTCAATCCTAATCGAGAAAGGATAAATGCCGCATTCGACATTGGGGATGTTACTGCATCGATCAGTGTCGCTACTTAATCCTTTAATTTACGCTGTATCTCTTCCACCGACTATACACTTTGAACAAGCTTCAAGAATCGCAGATGCATAGTTGGTGAAAGAAATATATCGAGGTCGTAAAATTAGCCAGGTTTCAAAGTTTATACTGGCCTAAAGATAAAAAGATAAAAGATAAAAGATAATGGCCTAAAACAACAAGTATTCTTTATCTTCGATTAAGTCCCAATCGAAAAACAAAGTGTATCGCTACTTAACTCTTCAATCTACAACTTCGCCATATTTCTTCCACCGACTATACATTCTACGATCGCGTTAAAGGGTCGAGTATCGACGAGGAGGGTACTTGAACCTTTCGAGCGAAATTTTATTACCCACGCAATCCTCTCTTGTCCACAATCTGTAGCACGGTACAAGTCAAGTGGTTGAACTGGATTATTCGACACCACATGAGCCATTACTTATGCATTTATTCATCAATTCCCCGGTGCTCACGGGTACAATAGTAAAACAAAGCAGAAGCAGGCGAACGCATAATAACCGGGGAACTAAAGAGGCTGAAAGTAAAAGTGTATTCGAAGGAAGGTTGAAATACCAACACGATATAGAAACAACAACCTAACGTTTTTTAATCACGTCGAAACGTTAATTCTCCTCGCCCAAAGGAGAGTCTAATTGAATCGAAACTCCAAGAGAAACCAACGTCATCGTCGTTGCGTCACAGAGAGTCGCGACGAACAATTTCGAAGAACCGAGAAAGAGGAAGATAACTTAATCTGTTCCACTACAAATAGCCCGGACGCGGCAAGTGAGACACGACGTGGTGCTATCAACGCGGTCGGAACGACCCTGACGAGGCTGTTGCATTCGCGACAAGGTAGCCTCGCTGTTAAACGCGGCGTCATCCGTGGAAGCCCCGAAACCTCTCGCAGATCCGCGATGCACGAAATCACAGCGGTCTCGCGCGGTTTCCGTTTTTAATTCGTCGGGGCTGGAGTAGCTCGCGTAACGGGACGTCTCGCGCCTCGTCGCTTCTCGCACTTTTACGAATTCTCGCGCGACCGTGCTTCCGTGTAGCGCGAACGTCTGTACCGTTATCGAGAGATTTAGGATCGTCCCGGTGGCGAACTGGATCAATAATCCAGGACGAGGATCGAGGCGCGAAGCAGGGCGAGGAGAGACGGAAGGAGGATGGGAACGAAACGGGCCATGGAAACCTCGCCGAGAAATTCGATCAAGGGAAAACGAACGAAGAAGGAGGGAGGAGACGGGAGGCGCGAGGTGGAAATTCCGCGGGTTAAAAAGTCGAGAATATCCAAAGGGAATCTGGCCAGGATTCCTTGGCAGTGGCTGGCTTAGTTGGGCCGCGGCCAAAGCCATGACGAATACAAGTGCTGCGGACCTGTGCCGGGTAAACAGAGCGGTTGCAAATCGAGCGCTTCGCGAGAGAAAAAAATGAAGAACGAGAGGAGGAGGAGAGGAGAAAGCTAACGAGAAGTCGCTCCCCTCGAAATTCTCGCTGCTTCGTTGACACTCCCGTTGGAAGGAAAAAAAAAATAGGGGGATCCTTGAACCTCGAGCGACGCGGTACATACAAGTATTTAAGCTCTAGAGTGGTGCTCGCCACTCGAGGGGTTACGTTACAACCCTTACTCCGTGGGGTTTAATCGAATCCAATTGAATGTTTCGTGTGTTTTTCTCTCGATTAAGATACACGACTAATCGCGTGTCGAATTCATTTTCCGGCCACTGAAGTCTCGAATGGAAATTTCAATTCTTTTTAGTTTTGCTTCTCAGACATGGAGAGGGAGAGAGATAATGTATCACCGGAACAGGTAGGAGATATTAGTGAAACACGTTACAAGTAGTTGACGAAATGGTCCAGTTCGCTGTGAGATCCGGTGGATAGACACGTTTCTACATTTTAATCGAGTTTCGTGCTTTCTCTTACCTGCCCACTGAATGCTAACACCGTGGTAATTGCACGTAACTGTTCTGCCCTATGAATACATTATTTTATAACACGTCGCAGTGACTCGTTTCACGTTGGATTTAATAATCCGATTGCAACCAAATCTATTTTTAAAACAGGTGCAACTTTATGGATCCTACACCGTCAGAGAAGGTTCGGGAAAGCGCGACAGAAATGTTCCGAAAAGTTCTTACCCACGAACCGCGAGATTTACACACCGCGGTTGTCCCGAGATGTATTATTTTGACGCGCGATAAATCACATCTCTGGCTCGAGTTCTCAAGTTATCTCGGTGTACAACTTGAGACAAACTTTCCACTTGACTGCCTGACAATTCAAACTTATAAATATCCCACTCTGAACCTCTCGGCGTATAATCGGTACGTTTGAACAATCGTAACCGAGATCTCGAAAAAGCAAAAAAGAAGGCAACGTTTTGCTCAGCAACGAAACAATGCCAAGTGTAGTTTTCTGCCTAAAGGCAGAACACTTTCCGGGCCTAAAGTTGCCTCCGTTGAAGCATCGCGAAAGTCGTCGTCCGCGGCCCGGATGCCAAATAATTAGCCAACTGGATTCATTTAAATAATTCTCACTGTCTGCGCGTGGACTACGCTCGTCCTTGCGTGCTCTTCACGCACCCGACTCTCATTGTTAAGCGAATGCAACCACGGAGAAAGCACACGGTGATTATTGTGCCGCGAGTGATTAATGCCTCGACCAAGGTACAACACGCACCGGCAGAGAGCCATTTTTCTTGCAAAGGCAAACGTCCAGAGAGAGAGACCACTGTTCTCCGCGTTTATCCAGCGCGATTTTTCGCATCGAAAGCGACAGAAGCGGGACGAACGATCGATAGGTTTCTTACTGACCCCTTTCTGCCTTGCCACTTTTGCCACTTTTTGCGGGCGCGCAGGTTGCGCTGGCTGTTGAGCATCTCAGCTGGCGAATCCGTACCCCGAAGCACTCGATTCACAACCGAACACACATATAGTAAAACGCCGGTATACATGGTGTAGAGAATGCACGGATTTCACGAAACGCTCTCCCGGAGTTCGGTGAACCCCGGCGTCGTGGCAAAAGGGAATGTGAAGATTAAAAGTGACGGGCTGAGCGCGTCGAAGATTTCGAGGATTCAAAGGCTTCCAGAAAAAGGCTGCCTCTGAAAGGCCTCTATCTCGTAGCTCAACCGACTTCCATTAACGCGCAGCGCCGGCTTTGTCGACGAGCAGAGAGAACAGAAGAAGAAGAAGGAAAAAAAAGAAGAGTCTCTCTCGTCCGGTACAGAAAAACGATCGCTTTAATTCGCGCAAGTTCGTTCGAAGCTAGCTGCAATTAGATAACACACGGACGAACGAGCGAATTTACGCCAACGATCAAGGCCGCGATGGGAATTAAAGGGCAAACGCAGATTTCGTAGAGGGAGAGATAGTTTCATTGAAAGCAGGCTCGTAAAACGAGAGAAAGAGAGAGAGAGATCGGCAAAGGTCAGCAGCGCGCGTCTATTTGTAACTGCGAAGAGTGCGCGTTCGCGGATGAGAAATGAGCGATGGGCTATTTTCGC